GGGCTCCCCGCAGCGCTGGGCTGCTCGGGGCGCCTCTGCGTGCTCTCCCCGGCCGTTGCGGCCCGCCCCCTTGTATTAGGCTTGTTGGGGGAAAGTCAGCTTTCGTGGAGTGGACCGGACTCGTGAGTCACTGTTCTCGGAAAAGGGAGTTTGCCGGCTCCGGTTGGAGGAGGCCGAGTTTTACACATGCTAGAAGATAGGCAGCTAAGGGCTGAAGATTATGCGTGCTTCCATGATATGCTAGGTTTTAAGATTGTTTACTCCGTATTTTAAAAAATGCAAGTTGAGAGCAGTGTAAGCCACAGCAATACAAAAATGTGAAACGCTGTGGTCCTGAGAATGTAGTAGCTTTGTGCCCGCGCCAGAGAATTTGCCCAGCAGAGTCGGACGTCCGAAGGGCTTATTTCGTACCGCCACATTCTTCAAAGCAAAACTTGAAAGTTTTGAGTAGTTGCAACATTGTTGCTGCTATGTAGATAGGAAGGTTATATTTTCCACTGAGTTTTTCCTTAAAATCACGTGAAATAATAATAATAATAATTATTATTATTATTTTGCGGTACCGGGGATTGAACTCAGGACCCTGCACTTACCAGGCAAGCGCTTATGCTACTGAGCTATCTTCTCGGGCCCCACGTGAAAATACTGAAGGTAACTGGATGACCACATTTTATACACCACTGGACTAGACTGACAGTGTGTGTTGAGTAAAGTAGCGTTGTAAATGTTTAAAATCCCTCCGCTGGTTTCTAATTGCTATTGATTGTGGACAGTATTTCTTTTCAAGCTTTTAAAAATGACATACATTGTTATGTTAAACATTAAACATTGCTTACAGAAAGTGGATAGCTTCATGAGTGAAGTCATGGAAATGACTGCAGAATTCAGTTCAAATTTTTAAATATTGGAAGGCACTGTAACATTTTAGTTTGCCTTAATTGCAGAACTTGATCTTAACAGGTTTTGCATTTTTCCAAGTAATAACAGTGAAAATATAAAGTGAGATTATAAGTGTATTACTGGTTTGAGCAACTTAGATACAAGTTGTTAGGGATGACAGAAGGAAAAAATGGAACTTGAGAATTGCTAGAATCCTAAGACAGGGCCTGTAGAAAACAGCACCTGACTCCAGGGGCCGTGTGAACATTTTCTGAGTTTGCTTTGGATCCTAGTCTGGCAGCATTTTATAGCTTCTTTAGGAAAGACGTAGAGGTCATCTGCCCGCCGTGTAAGACCCAGCCGGACACCGGCGCTCAGGTCATTGTGAGGGGGAACGCGCTGTTGTGACCAGGAGTTGCCAGTGGGAAGCAGCTGTGGGGCCTGCAGCTCTGCAGGCAGGGAGAGAACAGCGAGAAGCCCTGCTGCGGGCAAGACCCTTTTTCTGCCCGGAGAACAGAGTGGACATAATCAGAAGAATTACAGAAATAATGAATTTTTAAGATTCTTTTGATACTGATTCAGAGAGCCTAGAAGATGTGGTTTCATGTAGAATTCGTAAATGCTTCATGCAAGAAGAAAGTAAGTGCAAGAACCCACTGATTCAACTTGTGAATAGTTTTGTTGTGGGGATGGCTAGAGGCCCTGCAGCAGTGGACAGGGCGCTGTGGTGCCAGGTTTGGGGGGGCAACAGGTGTAGGGGCTGCATGCGTGCGGCAGTCACGGCAGATAGGACCTCGATGGCGTCACTGCTCTAGGCCTGATACAGGAACTTGAAGTGATAAACGTGCTGTGCACAGGTTTACTGCGTTATCAGTGGTAATACTGCAGAATGACAATTTTGATTCTGTGGCTCTCAGGCTGATTGGGGGGAGGTAGGTGGCAGGGAGCGCACTGGGTGTGCTGGGGCCCTGCTGCCCAGGACCCTCTGCTTGCCACATTGTGTATCTGAGATAAGGGCTGAAAGGGCCTATGTGTGTTGCAAAGAATTACATTTGTTATGTGTAACTGTAAACCTTTCAGCTTCTTGAAGTTATATTTGTAATCAGGGACTCACATTTGGAGATAAGGTATTTGAGGTCCCCCACCCCTCTTATTTTCCCTTCTTTGGCTCAAAAACAGACGGAAAAAAAAAACCCATTGGTGGAAGTTCAATTGAACCTTGCCCAGAAGTTGCCCAGAACTAAATTCACCCCCAAATACTGATTAATTTACTAAATTGATTAATATAACCTTAAGCACATTTGTTTAATTTTCATGACATGTGATTGGAATTATTTGGGAAACAGTTTGCTGAATAAGCAGTATAAAAAAGGTGAAAAGTTATAAACTACCTTTGTGGTAATTAATTTGATTGGCTTCCAGTGTGAAGTGAATCTTTCTTACTGTGGATCCTAGAGTCCTTCAGCTTATTAGTGACTGATTTTCTTTTATTTGACTGACCAAGTCAGTTGTATGTGACTAATATGACTTACTTTTCATTTTGATATTTTCTTATGTAAGCCATTTGGCTCTTTAATCAGAATTAATGGGTATAAGAACTGCTTAAAACCACTTCTTTTATCCGTTTCTCTAAGGTTCCTCTTGTAGAACTTTACATACAGATGTCTGCAATGAATAAATCATTTCAGTGTCTTTGCTTTAGTAAGTCAATGAGAAATCCTTTTCCTTGTGGATCATAAATTTTTAGATGGAAGCTGAGGTAATTTTTCATGACTGGAAAGCATGTTTGCTGATCATAGAGAATTGCCTTTAAATGCAGAATAAAGCTATAATAGGTACTTTTTAATCCTGAGATCGATAGTACTAGATGTTTCATGGAATGAGAAGGTTAGTGATAACTGTTGTTAACACTTTACTTTGGAAATGCTGTGTTGTAACTGCAGGAGGCCCAGAATCATTGTCTCAGTGTTGGTGAAGGTATTTACCTGAATGTAGAATGTATTCTGGTTAGCACACCTAAGTTTCAACAGATAATTTATTGGGTATGGAGTAGGTGTCAGGCATTATAGGGAACAAACTCTTCACTTTCAGATATATATATATATATATATGTGTGTGTGTGTGTGTGTGTGCAACACACATATGTATGTGATGCTTTCCTGAAAATAAGCATGGCAGGTGGACACGTAGGTATTTAAGGACTAGGCCATTCACTACCAGATGGAAGCTGTTCTCAGTCTCCTATCCCAGGCACATGGGTGAACCTCCAGTGAGGAGCCAGCACTCTCAGCCGCTGCTCTGACCATTGGCCACCTTTGTGTGCTCATCTCCTGGAACACGAGAAGGGGAAATGGAGTGAAGTTTGGAATTTGATGCTGGACTGGGTTGGTTCCCACTTGCTGTGTCAGCTGGTGGCAGACACTGGAGAGGTGCAGTGTTCACCGCTCGCTCCCTGAGCACCTGGTGGTGCCATGTGGCGGCCAGGGTCACGGCAGCCACCTTGTCTGGTTTAAGTGGGAGACACACATAGGTTTGGAGAGATGTGCACTGCCAGAGTAGTGTGGAATGAAGCTGGAGGCCCGGTCACCTCTGTGAGGTACCCTTGTGCTTTACAGTGCCACCTTTGGGGAAGATGCCTGGGCAAGGCCTGCAGGGGTAAGCACTGTGCAGTGCTCCTTTCTTGGCCTTGTTGGTTTACCAGAGCTTTTGATTTGTTGTCCCCCTCTGTTACGCTACACTTTGGTAAAGATCCTCCTGGTGATGAGCAGACTTGAGCAAATTAGAGTTGATCCCAGAACATTGCTGTCTCTCCTGAGTAACTTTTGAATGAATGAATGAAGCTGCTGCAGTCACCTAAGACTTACGTAAATATGGAGGCAGAAGCATAATTTACATGGGATTAATACGGACCTCTGAAGAGCTAATGTAGGGTAGTTCATTTGGAAAAGCTATTACAGAGGAGGAAGCCCGAGTGATACTAAGATGCCTAGGACTTGGGTTATTGGACACAACTAGGGTGACCCAACTGGGATAAAGATACCAAATGACAGTGAATGTGAATGGTTTGGGGGAAGTAGGGGCCACTGTTCTTCTAGGGGAGGAAAACCGCCCTTGGAGCGGTGGAGCTGAACCTGAAGGTAGCTTTGTGTAGCAACCCTGAGTTGAGATTTGGCAGGAGGGGCCAGTGGTTTATTTTTCAGCAGGTTGGTGTGCTGGGAAGCTATGTTTTTGGAAGCATTATATAATAGAGAATTGTTTGATTTGCTAAGAGCCCTTAAATAATCTTACCTCTGAATTAATTGAAAGGAGTAAAATGTAAATATAGTAAATATAATTGATAGAGCTGTTAACTATGCAACATGTTGTGGATCACTAGCCAGCACATTAAAGAAAGTTCATATTGAAATTTAAAGACATTCTCATTATAACATCAGATCATTCTCAATTGCAGATTCAGTACCTCAAGACAAACTCTTATGTGGATTCCAGATTCTTTTTTTTCCAGGTAATTTATTATATTATTATGCTCCTCTACCTTTGATTATTTATCAAAATAAGAATTTCTCTTGTCAGTTAAGTTTTTTAAATTTTGGATCAAAAGTTAAATTTTTAAAATAGAAACTTTTTGTGTAAAATATAGAAGATTCACTTTTATTAGCCTTTGACAGTTGGTAAAGAATTAAGTCATTTATTCATGCTCAGACATTAAAAACTAACTCTAGCTTGTTAATAATTACGTCTAGTTTGCTGAGCGGGAGAATCTCAACACTTCGGGATGAAACTGGTGCTGTAAGTACAAAGTGGTGTTGATGTGCGTGCCAAGCCAGGGTGGTCGGTGCTCCGTGGAGCCGAGAGGCTGATGCTTTGCTAAGGGCTGCAGGGGTGGGGTAGACTCTGTATTTCTACCTCAGTGAGAAGTGCTGCGTACGGCAGCTTACATTTTCATGACGAGAGACTGTAGGACATGAGCTTACTTTGGTAGTAGAGGAACGGTGTTCAATAAGTGGACACATGTAAGCACTAGAATATTTTGATATTAGAGTCATAAGAGGCTGCAGATAAGTGGAATCCTACATTTTTAACCTGTGAACTTTAACTACAGTACTACAGTAAGGAAAGGTAAAGTTTTCTAAAGTTTCGATAAAAGATAGTCTATGGATTTTTACAGTTATGATGTGTGTACCAGTATATAATGACCAGTGTTATTAGAGTGCTGGGTCAAAAGGTGTTTGGTGTGAAGGTAACAAAGTGATCATTGTTACTTGTTATGGTAAGATCTACAGATAAAATAAGTAGCAAAGTAGACCAGTCCCCATGAGATTATTTTAAAAATCAGCAACAGTAACTTAATTTATAAATCTGAGTCTTTAATTTCTGCTTGGCCCTTTTTAATAAAACAAGAATTTCAATGAATGAAAGAATATGTAGGTGTATATATATATATACTTATATATATACCTACATGTGCTTAGCTGACTGTAGTCTACAGAGCTTTCTTAGGCAAGGGCGTGGGTCAGCATTTGGGGACCTGCCTGGTGTGTGTGAGGCGAGGTGGTGATCTCCAGCACTGGGGGGCGGCTGACCACCTGTGCAGCAGACTGACTTATATAGCTTTGAATGGGCTGCCTTTTAGGAGCCCTTTTAATTGCTTCAGTGCAGCACACACTCCAGTTTTGCATTTCAGACTAAAAAAAAAAAAAATTATTTGGCATAGGGTCATGCTATGCAGCTGAGATTTGTAGTGATCCTCCTGTTTCAGCCTCCCCAGCTCTGGGGTTACAGTTGTGTGCCACCTCGCCCCATTTCAGTGGCCAGCACAGCTGCAGAGCATGTGGTACCGGGGATCGAACTTGGGTCCTTGTGCTTGCCAGGCAGCTGCTTAGACTGCTGAGCTATCTCTCCAGCCCCTGTATTTCACATTTTAAAGCATCTTGTTTTTCTCCTTATGTATTCTATGATGCTGAATTTGTTATTCTTTAAAATTTTTTGAAAATTATTATCATTACCCTCTCTTGGCTTTTGAAGAAATCGAGATGGTAAGATTGTACCTGTAGAAATATGAGAATGATCCTCTTGTCCAGAGTTGGCAGTAGTGTGCAGCACTTGCAATTTTGATCACCTTGAGTATGTTATAGATGTGCACTGTAGTGCCTAGCCTGGTGGCCCACGGCTTTCATTCCAGCGCCTGGGAGGCTGAGGCAGGAGGTTTGCAGGTTCGAGGCCAGCCTGGGTGACTTAGGGACTTAGCAAGACTGTGTTTCAAAATGAAAACAAGTGAGGATATGGCTCAGTGACCATCATCCTGTCATAAATAAATAAATAAATAGATAAATAGCTTTGCTGCTTTAATGACTTATAAATTATGTAAGTCACAAAGTCAGCAGTAATGAATGATTTGCCAATATAAGTGTTTATTTATTCATAATGTTTTCAAGGTACTCTAGAATATTTCAGATAAAAATGTCTCAGGTATCACCTTTCTCAAAAATATTAATAAAAATGAGAAATCTGGCTTATTAAATAAGCTTCCCTGCTCATTAAAATACAGATACATAATACTTTCCAGGGGAGAAGGGGCGAGAGGTGCACTAACTGCACACTCCTAAGTCCAGCTCTAGAAACATTACAATTAAGAGTGGAGTGTTACTGTTCCTTGTTGGAGTTACATTATGGTAAAAGGTGAAATTCAGTTTGAGAGTAACGCGATTCTTCACTTACAGATATTTATTGATAGAGACCCGGCAGCATTTGCACCCATTTTAAATTTTCTTCGGACAAAAGAACTAGATTTAAGGTAAGGGATGTGTCCTCTTCAGTGCAAGTTCTTGTTCCTAGCTGTGTCTTTATAGTACAGTTTAGGAAGAAAAAAGGATTTCCTCCAGACTGTGTTTATTTTTAATTGCCTTAGAGTATTTGTACCTACGTGTGGGTACAGTGTTGTAACGTGCTACGCACGTGCATGTGCAGTGAGTAACTTAGGGTGATTTGCATGTCCCATCTCCTCAGGCCCGACCCTGTCTGTGTATTGGGAACCTTGAAGCCCTTATGTGCTGCAGATTTTGCAGTGTGAACATCAGTTGTATACAAGGGTTGTCTCATTGTGCCATAAATGTTGCCTCTATTCTTTCATCTGTTTTACTACCTGTTCCCTCTTCCACCTTCTCCTCCCCCCATCCCTTATTAGCCTCTTACAGCCTCTTTTCTGTTCACTGTGTCTGTGGGATCAGCTTTGTTAGTGCCCACAAATGAGTGAGCACGTGCAGTATTTGCTGTTTTTTGATTGAATTTCCTCAGTCTTAGTCTCATGGATGCAGCCCTCCATGGTCTCATCCTTCGTAGCTTTCCAGCAGCTTTTTAGGAGCCCCCCATCCCCCACTCCCACCTTCCCTCCGTTTTCTCATTGCAGCCAAAGATATCTCCTAGAACTGTGAGCCTCACCAGGCTACACTCTGCATAACATCCTTCTTTAATATGTCACGTGGGACTGGCCTCTAGGGTTTGGGGTGTGATCCCATCTGTCGCTCCATCCATAATCTCTCCAGCTGAGCTCCAACAATACATGGGGCCCCTCCTGGTTCTGCTCACCTGACTGCTCTGGTGATCTTTGCTGCCTACTGAGCACAGTGTCACAACATTGCCCCATGTCCTGTCGTGTCACTTACTGGAGTTACTCATTTTCTGGTGTTCTCGCTCCATGAGACTTTAAATTGCAGTGGCACGGTTTATCCCCGCCATCCAGCACTGTACTCGCTGCATGCTAAGAGCCCACTACATTTTGTAAGTGTGTATTTGTGTGAGTGTGTGTACATGAACAACTTTAAACTGTTTCGTTCGCTGTGCCATATTCACTTACACTTTGTGTTCCTGTGAGGGAGTTATAACTTGGAGTTTTTTATTTTATATATTCCTGATAAACTTTCATGAAGGATCCTTTATTATGTTTTTAGTTTCAACTCTTAGAAATTTGCTACTTATTTTAGCAGCTTCTTTATAACTTTCTATTTTTGACTTACGTTCAATAGAGGGAACCCCTTGAGGGCAGAGATTGAGAAGCCTGGTGCATTCCCTGTTGCAGGTTAAACATTAAGTATAATACATGCAAAACAGATACTTAAAAGAGTAAGAGAGTTTGTTAGGGCTTTTGGTTTTGGTTAGAGGTGGGAAGTAGATTGTTAATTATTTCTTGGGGAAGATTATTTTTATCCATCTCATTTGGTAAAGAAGTTTACATTTGGTCAGTGTCCTGTGACTAATCTGCAGTTCCATCAATCATAAAGTGGAATTAATTTAAATATGCATAATTACTGACTGCTCCTCTTACAAATGACTCCTTGTTATCAGTTAAGGAAGCCTGGCGGATTTAAATTTTGATGTACTTTATATAGGAAGATGGGAAGGAATTTGAAAAAAAGCCCATATACCCATGTCCTATTAATTGCATACTGTATCACACTGTGTCATAATAACCACATTTGTTAGCCCGTCCTCCCCGGAGGCAGGAGCTCCTCAGAAAGTGTCACTTCGTGTCCTGGAGTACCTTATAATTAGCCAGCACTGCTGTTGGGCTTGTCCAGGCACTTGTGCAGTCAGAAATTCTCCAAAACAATGTAAACCAATGTGACATCGCAATTGTCTATGTTTCTGAGCAGAGGATAACTGAAATTTGAAATGAATCATTGCTGTTTTCATGTAGCCTTGCTAAAATGAGTTTTTTACTATTTGTTTATTTTTGATTCATTCATAAAATAATTGTTACATGACTTTTGTAAGCATTGTGCTAGGAACAAACTATGCAAAACTAGATCAAAAATAGATTGAGTTTATGGGGAGTATATAGAATGATGGGGGAATTTATGTATCTAAGTAATTATGATAAAAACTGAACGTAATACCATAAAAGAATGATTTCTGTCCCGGTGTCAGATACTTCTTCCTAATTCATTTGTTTAGCCCTTTGCCTTGACCTTTCATTTACTTAGTCTGTTCATCTGTGCGTGAAAGGTTGTTCCGTAGGCATTGCAGTATTGTTCACATGTCGTATTTATTGACACTTTTCCAGTGATTAAGTGTTAGAAATAGTGGAGAAAAGCCTTACAGCTTTGTTCATAGAAGAGCCTACTGCTTTTCGTGATGGCCTCTGACTGCGACCCAAGTCACCAGTGTGAGAAGACTGACATCCTTCATTTGTTCCTTTGTAGGGGCGTCAGCATTAATGTTCTCAGGCACGAAGCAGAGTTTTATGGAATCACGCCATTAGGTATTTATGTATTCTCACTATTTTGTGTTTATGGTTGGACTCTGTAAAATGAACTTGCCCAAATGAAAAGTGTTCTATATCAGGCTGAAAGTAATTTGTGGAGTAGTTCATTGCTTAGTTTTTGTGGATTTTCGTAGCAAAAAGATGTTGTCAACTCTTCTTGAACTTAAATGTCTTGTTTTTCTTTGCTTATCCTCTTTAACTGAAGAAAATAAAAATGGAGCCTTGTTTTTCTATGTGTTACATGTTCACTTTGAAATGTTCTTAGTGCGAAGGCTTCTCTTGTGCGAGGAACTGGAGCGTTCGTCCTGCGGCAGCGTGCTTTTCCACGGCTATTTGCCCCCGCCAGGTATTTTGACTTCCATTTTACTTAGTCCTTTTACAGATTATTTTGTATCATTAAGTATGAATAAGAAAAACTCTTGATTTTTGTATTTCTTATTTATAAAGCTGGAAATAGTCAGATCTTCATTTTTTTAAAAACGTTAACGTATCACACCTCATGGTACAGAGCAGGACTAGAGAGCAGGAGATAGTGGTACCCTGAGCCAGCTTCTGACCTTGCCGCTGCAGCCGCGTAAAAGCAGGGCTGCCTCTAGGTCTGTGTCTTTGCTGAGAGTTTTCCTTTCTTGTGTTCCGCAGTTTGCTACCTGCAAGAGCACTGTTGTCAGAATTCTTTCTCTGTCACCCATGACCTGGGCAGAGATGCATAGTGTCACTTATTCTGCTTGAGTGAGAGCGGTTCTACCTGAGTGGCTGCTGAGCCAAGATTTCACTTTTTAAGAAGCTCCTGTGCTGAAAGAAGATGCATCTGAGCAGGAAGAAATGGTCATGAAGCACCTAGATTGGCACTGAGGGCTTGCGTAGTCACCACGCCTGCAGGCATAACCCCCCACCGACAGACTCACCTGGTAGTCTCTGATTCAGGAGCCCGGAGCTAGGGAAGTCGGAGCAGTGTGAGCAATTCACTTATTATAAAAAATAGGGCCAATACCAGAAAGGCCTTTTCATTTTATTTTTTATTTTGATTTTGTACTGTTTTATTATAATTAACTATTTGCAGTAAATTGCTGTATAAAAGATCTACTTGAGATATAATGCAGTTCATATTTTGTTTCTTAGTCGAAGTGTGATCTACAGTGGTCTCTTTGCTTTTTCTAAGGCTAACTTAGAAGTGAATTTGTTGTCTTCTTCCCTTTGTAGGTATTCCCAGCCGTAAAATAAACAACACTACTAGATCTGCTGCTGACTCCAGGAACGGACTGAACTCTGTCGAAGGTGAAGCCCGGGGAAATGGCACACAGCCCGTTCTCTCCACGGCTGGGGAAGAGGCGATCAGGCTGGGTAAGCACAGAGGACAGAGGAGGAAAGGAACCGCGAGCGATTTTACTTGTTGGTGGTATTGCTGTTTTTTTGTTTTGTTTTTTGTGGTACTGGGGATTGAACTCAGGACCTTGCACTTGCTAGGTGGGTGCTTATTCTACTGAGCTATCTTCTTATCCCCTCTTGGTGGTATTGAGTAATTGTTTTTAAATATATAATTTGTGCCCAAATTTTTAAAATCCAAATTTATCATTTATATCTTGAAAAGTCTCATTTAATGTTTTTTATTTAAAATACTGTGTGACTTTCTGTTTGCCCTGAATTGTTAGAACAGTGGTTTGCTAATTCAAATTTCATGCAGTATGAGTCAGATAGTGAGTGAGAAAATGTGGGGGACAGTTTGGCCCAGACGAGTGTTGGCCTGTTTGAGCTGAGCTTACTAGTGGACATAGGCAGCAAATGCTTGGCTTGGGGCCCAAACTTGCCAGCTGTTCTAGAACGGGAAGCATTTCTTTTTCTGAAACCAACAGGATTTCCTGTGGATCCACGAAAGGTGCTAATAGTAGCTGGACATCACAACTGGATCGTGGCCGCGTACGCTCACTTCGCTGTGTGCTACAGGTATTGTGCCATGCCAGGGCAAGCCTTTCTGAATTTTAGAGGAAATTCACTAATTGTGATTTTATATTTTTTGTGACGAGCCCAATGCTTTAGTCATTGAGTTTTTCTCCTTAATATTTCACCCCCTTCTATGTCGTGTGGATAAGACTTGGTTTGCTTGTACTTTTCACGTAATTTGGTAAATATTGTCAGTAGCCTTCACATACTTGACCTATTTTCCAGATAGCATGAACTATGACTGGAGGGTGGTGCAGGCAGGCATGCTGTGTTTCCTCACAGTGAGCTAAATCACCCAGTGCAGTGGCAATAAATGATTTTAAAGGAAAGAAACCATACAGGGGAAGTGTTTTCAGAGAGTACTCTTAAGTTGTTTTCCCTAAAGATTTTGTAGTAGTAAGTAAAAAGCTTTAGTACAGCAAATACCTGCATGTGTGCCTTTCATGTGGGCTCACGGAGTTTGTGCATAAAGGAGGCCTTGTGTTAATATCCCCTCGTCCTGTGAGGCTGTGACAGTGTTACTCCTGCTAACAGGGCAGCTGCGCAAGATCCTCCAGCTTTTATTTTAGATTGGATCATCCCTCGATAGGAATTGTCTTGTTTATACATGGTGTGGGGCTTAAGTATTTATTTTATTTTTTCTAAGTGGGTAGCTAACTGTTCTGATCATTATATATAAATCATCTCATTGAATTTAAAGGCATCAGTTAAACCATTAAAAACCCTTCTGCAGCTGGGGAGATAGCTCAGTGGCATAAACGCCTGACTGGCGAGTACAATCCTGAGTTTGATCCCTGATACCAAAACCAAAACAAAACAAAAATACTCATCTGCAGAAAAAGGTTTGCAAAGCCGCTTTTCTTCATTTAATTGTTTTTAGGTTTTGGAGTGCCTATGGTACTTTTCTTAGCTTGCTTGAATAAGCTGTCATCTAAAACACAAATCAGATTTCTCTGTCATTTTATTTAGTAGTGGTAACAAAAAATACTGGTTACAAATTGGAAAAAAAAAGTCTGGTTTTTGTTGCCTGCCTGTGATGCCAGTGATTTTTAAAAGAAACATGAAAGGTAAAATCTTTTTAAAGATTTAAATCACTTTAAAATTTTTAAAGTGATTTGGACCATTTGCTTAAATTTTTCTTTGGAGAAATAATTTCTCTCTAAGTGATTATGTGTCCTAACTATGTAAATGTATTAGTGATACTATTTGGGCTTTGATAATATGTCAAGAAAATTTTGTATTTAGTAACTGAAGGGTTGGTTGTTGCAGCTGAGTTTTTTGGCACATTGCTTTTCTTCCTTTGGGGTGGTGCACCTGGGCTGCTGAGTCTACTTCTATTCCTGTCTTCACAGAATCAAAGAGTCCTCAGGATGGCAGCAGGTGTTCACAAGCCCTTACCTAGACTGGACTATTGAGCGCGTGGCTTTGAATGCCAAGGTGGTTGGGGGTCCTCATGGCGACAAAGACAAAATGGTGGCCGTTGCCTCGGAGAGCAGCATCATCCTGTGGAGCGTTCAGGACGGGGGCAGCGGAAGTGAGATTGGTAGGAGGACCTGCTCATGCCTCACTTCTCTGCTGTGTGTAGTGCTTTGTGTATTTTCTGAAAGAGCTTGGTTCACGGTGTGCAAACTAACCTGGACAAAAAGTGAACTTGAACTGCTGCTCTTCCTTTCCGGGGTTCAGTAGTAAAAAGAATACGAGATGTGAGAAGACTGGTCTGGAAGGGGGACACTCGCTGTGGTTGAGAACACGGGAGCATCTGAACACAGCGTTGCTCCAGCTGAAGCCTGGCCACACAGTGGCTGTGGTGTTCTCACTTGCTGGTGGCCGTGTCTTCCCGCCCTTCCGTCCCACTTAGGCTTGAGGGTGAGGTCCCTGCTCTTACCTGAGGCCACCTTCCCATTGCAGCCCGCTCCCTGTGTCCCCCATTGTCTTCTCTGTGTGGATAAGTTTTTATTGATAGGTCTTGAATAATAATTTTTACCTATTTCCTGGTGTAATGTGCTGTCAGTCTCATTTAATAAGGTTTTATTTTTAGCTGTAATATTACCTTTCGATAACATTTTAGTAGTTTATTTTTCTAGTAAGATTTGTCTCCACATTGTGACCCCTTTTTTATTAAATCATAGTAGCTGCTTGACTTGGATTTTTGTTTGCTAATTCCAGTATCTGAGTCATCTCACACTTTTATCTGGGATCACATACTCTTCACATTTTTGAAAAGTTTTGAGTACATGTTGGATGTGCCTGTAGGCAGGGCAGAACGGAATGCGCTGTGTTTCTTTAAAGATAGGCGCTTTCTTCCCACAGCCAGTTACAGCATGGAGGATCCGGTTGGTCTTACTGAGCTTTGCTCTGTGCTTTGTTAGGGAGCGGTGAGCTTCGCGTCCATTTTAGGGCACGTCTGCCGTGGCCTGTTCTGAATGTGCGCCTGAGGTTCTTGGCCAGGGCTCGCCCCGGCCATGAGTAGGAATTGCCTCATCTGCCAGCGTGGACCTCTGGAGTCTCCAGCTCTCAGCCCTACAACAGCCTCTTCTTTTTCCTTGATTCTTGGGGGGTTCCCACCCTGACCAGGTGCAGCTTGGCCTCTTCTAGGGCCTTAGGGAAACCCCATGCAAGTTTTGCCCCATCTGCATTGTGGAGCAGTTTCTTTTTGTGTGATACCTGACCCCTTATTGTGGCCTCAAGTCCTCTGCTTCCTCTGGACTGGGGTCTCGTCTCGGCCAGCTCAAGGCCAGGCTTCTCTGGAGCTTCGCCCCTCACAAGTCCTCCTGCTGGTCACCCAGTGCCTGCCATAGTGGCCGCGGGCATGTTGTCCAGTTTTCTTCTGTGGTGGTTTTTCAAGTCTGATGAAAAGTGCTGTTTACTCAATCTCAGCTGGCAGTGGAGTCCTTCCTGACAGCTTTAGAAAACAAAGTTCCGAATTACGGCTTTTGAAATAAAATGCGTGGGTGATCATGCCAAGAAGAAACCAGTCCAGTGATTGTCTTTTCCCTTCTCTGGCTGGCATTTGTATCACACCAGTAACTGAAGGAACTCTATTTCTGCTTTGTTCTCAAAGGCTGCTGTGATGGCTAGCTGTGTGACGAGGCTGCAGTAGAAATCCGCTCATGTCCTCCAAAGGACGTGTTTGTTGTTACAGATGTTCTTGGAAATTGACAGCACCGCCTAAAGAAAATTGTTAGTGCCTGTGGCTCCATGATGGAGCTCTCCCAGTGGCTGCCGGGCGTGCTGGAGTGCTCGCTGCTCAGAGCAGCACGCTAGCAAGGTGGCCCTTAAGACAGGCACTTGGCGTGATTTATCCACGGCTGGCTTCCCCGTGCAGGGGCAGGAGAGCTGCGCCCTGGGCCAGATGACACTTTAAGCTCCGTGAGACCTCTCCGAATGTCTTCCTTGATTTCCCAGAACCTCATCCTTCTCTAGAGTAATCACTGTTAGTTGTTTCCCATTTTTATTTCTGCTTTTCATGTGGGCCATGGGACTGAACGTAGTTGGCTTCACAGGCACTGAAAAATTGTTTGACCTCAAACTTGAAGTGCCATTATGTGACAATCCCTAGAATTGTGTGCAGTGTGGGATACTTATTTTCTGTTTGAAGTGGGAGATGTATTGCATAGCCAGTTCTGGCTGAAGGGCTTAGCTGCTTCTGTGTGGTGTGTAGTTTTTCGTTGTCAGGGCAGAGGTGGTCCATTCATGTGTATGTTTATGTAAATGTGATTGGTGTGTTGTTAAATGGTACATATCGAGGATATTCCTAGCAAAGCTTACCTGTCCTGTCTCTTTTTTCTTTCTTCTTGTGCAGTATATCATTTTGTTCCTGCTACATGCCTGTTTTTTTTTTAAGATGGGTAAAGAAGTGTTGAGACGTTGTGGCCTGTCACTAGCTGCTGTCTAGATCTGAACAGAAGAGAACACTTAGCCCTGATACAAAATTCAAAAGAAATCAGAAAGTTGCCTAGCTTATACTTTCAGGGTGCCCTGCAGTTGCATGTCATTATTTGCCCCCTTCCCCTGCCTGAGTAGTTAGGACTTTGTTATTTCCTTGTTTTCCTCAACCACATGCTGAGAAAGTTGCTCATATTGACAGGCAGGCCCTTTTATTTTCGAGATAAAGTGATACTTGAAGTAACACAAAGATCTGTATAAAGCAGTATTTTATAGGTGAGACTCACTGTCTAGTGTTTTGAGATAAAAAGATACTTTCTCTGTTTTTCAAATAATACAGTATTCTGTGAGTACCAGAATTTGATTATAGCATTTTTAATGTGAAACAATTCTTGAGACATTTAGCTTGGACCCTATTTTGTAGGTGAGATGAATAAGGACTGGAGTGGTGGCAAACTTAGCTACGTTCGGACTGGGGGCCACGGAGACTGCCGACTCCTGGTGCAGGCCTGACCCCTTCCAGGGCACGTGCGCTGCTTCAGGCTGAGCCAGGGGCTCCGAGCGTCCTTGGCTTGTGCTGTCGCTGTGCTCTGTGGTCCTTGTGATATCCCTGAGTTACTTGAGGCCTAGGGCTCACCCAGCCCAACTGCCCCTTTGAGCTCCTGCTAACCTTTTAAACACCCAACTCAGAACACATCTTCTCTGAGGTGGATTCTCAAAACCTCCTTACTGTGCCTCCATACTCCTCTAGGTAATGCTGACCTGTCTAATCTCCTGTTCTTTTCATGTTATATTGCGATTGGTTATTCGCAGTTTTTTTCTCTACTAAACTACAAGTCTGAATAGTATCCATTGTTGTTTTTAAATCCCAAAACCCAATATAGTGTATTTTAAGTAAACTGAGACCGAAATGCTAGGAAACAAGAGGTTTAAAATAAACGTCAAATAAAAGGACTATATATTTGAGTTTTCTGTTTGTTTTTGCTTACTTCTAGATTTTTATGTACCTTCTCGATAGCTGAGGTTGCCAGGTGTGTCTTCAGATTACTGGTTTCCGGATATCAGATTCATGAGCAAGTGCCCTTTCCATTTCCTACAGATTTGATTAAGATGCAGTGGGATTTCTGACTTAGGTGCGGGCGTGGAGCCCAGGGCCCTTTTTATTTTACATGCTCACTTGAAACCTACTTAGTTGTGTTCATAATCAGCTGGGATGAGCACACAGCGTTGGATGCAAAGGCGCTATAGCAGTGAGGCTGCTGGCAGGCTGCCCCTTGCTTGGGAGCCTCCTCAGCTGCTCACAAGCTTGCTAGCTTTGTGTTTCTGGGTCCCACCAGGTCTGGTACGTAATTTGTAGAAACTAGAGTGGTATAAGTTAGTCACTGTGGGGTTTTACTGTAGGTTTGCCTTGCTCTGAAGAGATGGCTGATTAACCTCTCTGTCTTGTCCTTGAAGGTGTGTTCAGCCTTGGTGTTCCTGTGGATGCGCTCTTCTTCATTGGAAACCAGCTGGTGGCCACGAGCCACACAGGCAAGGTGGGCGTGTGGAATGCTGTCACCCAGCACTGGCAGGTTGGTTTGAACTGAATCTTATTTAACAAACAAAAATATTCCTGAAACTTGTGCCAATTATGTGTCTGTTTTTTCTTTGTGGAACTCATGCTGTTTCTTTTGTTGATTACATGGAATATCAAATATATTTGGTGGTAAGTTTATTTCTAGATACAAATTATACCTTTTTCAGGAAATGTGTTACTTTGGTAAAATGAGTAAATTTTTAAACTGTGGTCCAGCATTTCTTCATTCTCTTGACATGTTTTAATTTCTGTGCTGTATATGGTGATCTTCTGGCAAACTTCATTTATTGAGTAAAAACATCTGTAAAATACATGACCTGCCCAGACCTGTCTAAACATTAGCTCTCAAATATCTGAGAATAACAATAAATTTTAAAATGGTTAGTACAGTTAATACTTGATCCTGAAGAAAGAACGATGAAGGAGGAAGGCGGAGCCCGTGTTGTAGAGCAGCACCACTGCCGGCTGCAGTGCCCGCTGGTGGGGTGTGCATCAGGGCACCCACAGAGCAGGGTGCGCTTCGGCTGGCGGCGGGGTCCTGGTTGCAGAGTGGCAGAATGAGTGTTTGAGACATTTTATAGACCTTCTAAACTTAGGGACCTACTTTCCAACTGATGTGGAAAATTGGAGATGTGATTTTACTTTTAGTTTTGAGTGTCTAGTTTTAATAACTGAGTAGTGATATTTTAAAGTGATGGAGAACACAGGAAGAGAAAGTCCAGTAGGTAAGATGGGGCAGGGGTTTGATCCATGGGTAGAGTGAGAGGGAGTGTTTTGAGGCAAAAAAACAGGTTTTAATGGCAATGTGCCTTTTACTGTACAGTAGTAAATGCTTTGGAATTTAGCTATTCACTTTATCGTTTATTGCCTCCTATAGACTTTTTCCATAAACAGTATAGTTTTACTATGTACAGAGCACTTACATTAAGCATTATATTTGAAGTACATGAGAGAAGGCATGGATAATACAGAAATACCATCCCATTCTCTCCCTGAGCCTTTGGAGGGTTTTGGCATCCTGAGGGGTCTTGCAGCCCACCTCCCACAGATACTAATCAGTGCCTGTCCTTGTGGAGTGTACATGACGTCATTGTGAATATGTGCATGCCAGGGTAATACCCAGGACATAGTGGAGGGTGAAAGGACACTGACCCGGTGCTAGAATATTCTGTCAAGGTGATGGCTTGCTCGGCATGGACAGTCCAGGCAGGGCTGCGACACGGCAAGTGGAGACGACAGAGGAACTTTCTTCTTGGGACTCTAAGCCCCTGGGAAGGTGGTGCAGAATGACTGCTTTCCAGTTAAAGGAACTACATTCGGGGAAAACTAGGTTTCCCTTTCTGTGAAGATACAGTAGTCATTTATGGAAAAAAGTACTGGCTAGAGTGGGCCTTACACAGGCACAGCAGTAAGCTTTGTCATGGGGTCATAAAAATAATGGCCAGGGAATGTGGGAGGGGGCTGACATAGATGAATCTAAAGTTTAGAAGTGGATCAGAAGGATTCTTTAACTGGTGGCATTTCTGTAAAGAATAGTGTGACTTTATTGATTTATGGAAAGTTTGCTTTTGTGGATTTATTTTGCTGCTTATGTCAGGTCTGAAACTCCAGTGTCTGCCATGAAAATGCTAATATAGTTTTGGTTACTGAGAGTATGTGCACTTTGTTCCTGTTTTGTTTTCAAAAGTACATATAAAAGTTTTAATGTCATGTCATCAAAGTGGGTATCCATCTTAAGCTTTTGTATATTTTGTTGCTTCTTGCGTGGTGTGTGGATGACTTAGAACCATAGCTGACAATAGATCTGGCTGTGTTTCAGGAAGTGAAACGTTCACGCAGCCAATAAGTGCTGTGACTTAGGTAGCTGGACTTCTTTGTGCTGCACTGCAGAGGAGGTGTATGTTGGAGCCTCGGCTTCTGGTCTGCAGGTCTCCACAGCTCAGAAAAGAGGCTAACTCCCTTCACTCCAGGACTGCTGTGGCATGGCCTGAATGGCAGGTCCTGAGTGGATTTTTAGTGACAGTTCCACTCATGCATAATAGCACAGAAAGTAACAGGACAGCCCTGGCAGTTCTTACTCAAATGAGTGTATAACTGAGATGGATTGAAGTATTGGCATCAAAGGGTTTGTGTGTGTGGATTAAGGTTCAATACCTTTATTAACTCTTGTTTATAATAGCTTCTCATCAAGAAAGCTTCAATAAAATATTAATAACACTTTGTATTGGGCTAGGGAGATAGCTCAGTGGTGTGAGTACCTGTCTGGCAAGTGCAAGGTCCTGAGTTCAATCCCTGGTCTTAGAAAAAGCCCTCCCAAACAAAAACATGCACTTTATAAAGATATATTTAATTTAGGTTAAAAAATGAAATTTTAAAGAAATGCTTTAGTTTTTTCCCCTAGTTTTACTCTGCCTTATTATACACCAGACATACATATATCTGTGTTTTCATATAGTAACATTCACTAAGTTAAATAGCAGCTTTGAGTATAGATTTAGATTTATCTTGGAAGCAGATTTCTCGTGTTCAGTTGAACTCACGTTCACCTCTTACAAGTATACACCTCGTTTTTGCAAGACACAGCTCTGAAAGTCCTGGGAACCACATCCTTACTTTGTTTAGCAGAGGATCACTGAGCCCTCCTTGTGCTCATTTTGAGGACTGGGGAACTTCCCTTTAAGCCATTGTCACCATTTCAGACTTGCCAGTAGAGGCCAGGTTCCGGGAGGAAACATGGTCTCTGGCTGAGGATTCCAAGTGGCCTTCTGTGGTCTGCAGGTTAGGAATAGCTGCTACATACTAACCTAAGCGCAGTACTTGGAGTTCACAGTAAAATAATGGGATTCACTGATGTAAGTCTCTCTCCTTTGTGCATATAAAAGTACTGGATACAGATATTAAAACTCTTTGTAGTAGTATCTGTACTAAATATTACGATTTATGTATTTTTTTTTATGTTAAAATACTATTTATCAAGATAAAGCCTCTGGGTGCTGTGACTTTAAGCAAAACCAGGAAGCATGGCTTCATGGAACGTGGAGCCTCTTGCAAAAATTTGAAGCTTTCAAGGTCTGCCTCAGTCTTAAGGAGGCTGGGAAATTTTTACTAGAAAGTTTGATAAAATAGGCGTGTGGGTCATTGTAACAGAATAGAGGAAGGAGAAACAAGTTCAGGAACATTCAGCTTATTTGATCTTTACACAGGGGCCAGAAATCTATTCTGGAGGCAAGATCACCTCTTGAATAAATGATGGTGGGAAAATTGGATATCCACATGCAGAAGACTGAGTCTGTAAACCCGTCTCCCACCATGTGCTAAATTAAGTAAAGGTGGATCAAAGATCTGCATGCTAAAATGAAACACTTAACTTGCTGGAAGATAATAGGTAAAACTGTAGAAGACAGACATAGGCAAGAACAGAACCTCTGTGGCCCTAGAAATGATACTGAGAGCCTACCAATGGAATCATATCAAATTAAAAAGGTGTTCTGTACAGCAAAGGAAAAGACCAACAGAGTGAAGAGACAGCCCACAGAATAGGAAGAAATTTTTGCCATAACAGTAAGTGAAATGAAGCACATACAGAAGTTTAAATATTGCGTGGTTTGTTTTATATGAAAAACTCAAGTAATGTGTATGTGTGTATACATATATATATATATATATATATATATAGAGAGAGAGAGAGAGAGCGCGCACACACTCATAGGAGCTCACAGAATAGAGATAAGTAGAGAGATCTTTTTCAAATGGATGGGACCCAAGAGTTGGAAGGAGCCAGAAGGAGAAAGGTAGGATAAAGAGAGAGAACTGAGGTGTTTGTGTATGTGCCAACCCCCGGGGTAGTTGTGATCCTTGTGTGCTGCTCACATGCACTAATTACACAGTCTTATAGATTAGTATGTAGTGTGTTAGGAACTTCAAAAATGATGTGGTGTTTCAGGTGTTATCTGTTCATAAAGGGAAGGGGAGCAGCTAATTCTCCAGGTCACAGGAGTAAAGCTGCTCTTTCTAAAAGTAGCAGAGCTTGTTGTCCAAGAATGCAGAGTGATGGCGCAGGTAGAAGCTCCTGAGAAACTGAGAGCAAGATACTCAGCCTTTGTGCTGTGGAGACTTTTGACAACTAGCCTGTGGCCACTGGCATTCCTGGATGGGCATGTGTGCAGGTTGGGCACACGTGCACGTTGGGCGCTCTCACAAGAGCAGCACGGGGCGAGGGGGCGGCGCATCTGCAGAGGAAGTGATTTTGCCTGAAAATAAGCTGCTCTCCCCACATTTTCTCAGCATTAAAAGTAAATGAGGAAAGTTTTCAGATGTAAAAAACATGGGTATTTACATCCTCAAAACTGGACAACAAACTTGAAGTAATGGGTACTGTAAATTTTCAGAGTTATTAAAGTGAAAAAAATGATGCACTTTCGGGATAGAATAAAGCTACCTTGAAAACAGGAAAATAAAATACTAGAAATTAAAAGATCATTGAAAATGAAAAATAAGACAAAAAGCAAACTCAATGAATTACACAGAAATACAGCTAAAAGACAATTTAATGAGACTGCCTCAAAAGGAAACCCCTGAAGGCCCATCATGAGCCCTGGCGTGGAAGAGGTGCCTGACTCCTGCTGGCCTGCAGAGCTCAGCACCTGGCCTCTGCTCTGCACTGACCCTGCAGACTTTGTGCTCCTCCTCTCCCGAGGGTTGAGGTAGAGGAAAGCATGTGCAGAAAAGTTGCTGTGAGGAAGTGAGAGCACAGGGCACCAGGGTTTCCCGGGTGGGGCCGGCTTTTCACTGACAAGGGGATCGTCTGTCACCTCATCCTGCAGGGGGGAACACTGTCTTAGCGCTGCAGCTGAAAGGTGGCTGCCATGTAGGGTAGGAGAATGTGTATGAAGCCGTCAGCGCCCCCTCAGTGCTGTGGAGCTTCCAGACCAGCCTGCTGTGGGTGCCGGCGTGATGGTGGGGTCAGGGCGGGACAGTCTCTGGTGTGGCTAGCAAGCCATGTGGCTCTCCAGGAAGCCCCCTAGAGACTCAGTTTGTGCTCGCCTTAGACGCAAGAGTCATTATTTCCACATTTTAGCTCTTTCTTTTGCAAGTTTTTAGAGTGGACCTAGATTCTGTAAGGTTTTTTAATCTTTTTTTTTTTTTTTTTTTTTTGTCCTTTACTTTGTCCTTTGTTTACTGAGCTCATGTTAGTCATCTCCCTTGTGGTTGAGACACAGCCCCTGTGACTTAAGGAGGAAGGGCTTTTGTCCTCACTGTAGAAGTTTCACCCCAAAGTTCCTGGCTTCTGGGCAAGACCATACATGGAAGGAGGGCCTTTGGGTGGGAAAGCCTCTCTCACCACCTGGGGCCTGGAATGAAGAAAAGATAGATAAGAGCTGGGTCAGGTGATGGCTCTAAGGGAAGATTATGTATGCCTTTGCAAAGTTAGTTATCACATGACACAAGGTTGCCTGGTGACTGATGGCTGCCCCAGACCAGGCAGGATGCTTTTCTTAGGACTATGGTAGCTTCACTGCTTTAGGCAAGCAGGCCTGTCCTGCCCTCCTACACATAGCATTTTCCAGCTTTAGCCTCTCCCAACAACCTGTCACTTTCCTGCCACTGACCATGTACAGGCAGTTTGGGGCACCTGCTGGAACTAAACCATGACAGTGGGCCTCTGCTCCTGCCACTCTTGCTGTCAGAACCTTGCCTTGCCCTTTGCTTTTTCACCAGTTTTGAGAGGACCATGGTTTCTCTCCTCGGGTTGTATTCGCACCATTAGAGCATCTGTGATGGAAATTGTCTTACTTTTCTTGCTGTTCACAAGTTACAAGTTCAGAGGGATCCCACACCCTACCTCCTCTGCCAAGCTTGTCATGGCTAACATCTGACACACAGGGATGTGTGCTAAACAGATCCTGTTTAGATTTTACCCTTTCATATGAGACCAGAAATGACAAAAGCTCCATAATTTGAATTTTAAATTATTCAACGTCTCTTGGACTTGCATGTAAAACTTAGTTTCTCATATCGCATATGAATGTCTTCTATGTTTTATGTGCATCTCTAGCTTGGTTGTAAAGATAGGATTCATTTAAAATTTTTTTTCTTCCATAATTTTATTGATAAGTAGCGATGAGACAGTTTCAAACCAAATTGGTAGGACAGTTTCAATAATCAACACATTGCATACATTCTTCCTAGTGGTTAATTGCTGTACAAGATGCAGACATGATATCCTAATTACAAACTCTATTAGAACAAATCCCTCTATTCATTAAGAGAATGTAACTATATATCTATCCTAACTATTTTGAATACACAGATACAAAATGGACATTCATCTGTATCCCCTTTTTTGTTTAGTTCCATTATTTGAATATTATAGGTGTGTTAACTCAGCAGAATATCCTGAGTCCAGTAGCCCATAATAGGACTGGGGCTTCCGCTTCATGAGCAGTGTCAGAAATTGTTGACCTGAGTCCCCTACAGCTCAACATAACACCATGAAAAATATGGAACGCTTCACGAATTTGCGTGTCACCCTTGCACAGGGGTCATGCTAATCTTCTCTGTATTGTTCCAATTTCAGTATATGTGCTGCTTTGCACAAAAATTTTTTACAAGAGTAATATTAATCTTTTTCTCTCTGCATTTTGTGTTTTGTTTGATAGTAAAACTCATGCCATTTGCTTTTTTCTCTTGGCACATAAACTGGGAATTATAAATTTGTTTGAAACTTTATTCTAATGCTTGGAAAAATAAACATCCTAGAAAACAGATGGAAGTTTTAGTGAAGAGAATGAAAATAGAAACTAGTACTACCTTTTTAAAGAAATCATATAAATTGCCAAGGCACCAGCCTCTGTCTGGATCACTTTCTGTTTCCCAGTTGTGTGTAGCCGGGCAGGTGAGAGAAGGGGGAAGGCACGTCTGCACGCTGCTCTCAGGCCGGTGGGCTGTGGTTTAGGAGCGTGCGCAGAGGCAGCAGGGCCTTCATCAGAAGCAAGGGCTGCCGTGAGGAACGTTGTTAAAGATCTCTGAGGGGAAACCACAGAGGCAGCTCTGAGGAGGTCCCGGTGGCGCCCGTGCCCGTGCACACACAGGGGCTTAATGACAGTTTGTGTTCAGTGCCCTGCTAAAGCTGGGTATTGGGCTCCTTTTCTCATAAGAGTGAAAGTTAGGAGGGTCTAGAACATAGGAATTATAATTACTTTCTGACTTCAATAATCTCACTGCATCAGGTTCAAGATGTTGTTCCCATCACCAGCTATGACACTGCTGGCTCCTTTCTTCTCCTGGGATGTAACAACGGATCCATATATTACATAGGTAAGTATATACATACTTAAAAAGCACCTATTTAAATTGTTTCAAAAATTAACGTATTTTTAGTTTAAATTGGATGCATTATTTATTCTAGTCTTACTGACATTTTTATTTTTTAGATATGCAGAAATTTCCTTTGCGAATGAAGGATAATGATCTTCTTGTTACGGAACTGTATCACGACCCTTCCAATGATGCTATTACTGCTCTGAGTGTTTACCTCACGCCCAAAACAAGTTAGTATGCTACCAGTTATGGCAAGTTGTGTAAGTTCCTTTAACCATGAATTTTCATCCATGAATTTACTATGCAGCTGGGTAAAACTAATCTGGTGCATCTCAGAACCAAGGTACTAACAGATTTCATCTCTGTTAATCTAAAATACATAGTTTGTTTTATGCCAGAGGACAGCACGACCAGTAAATGGACATACTTTCAGGTGGAAAATTGGAATTTTCCCCTTTGTGAACTGTTTGTTAACACGTTCCTGCTGGCTTGCAGGACTACGCTGTGGGTGCTTGTCCTGCCTGACAGGACTGTCCCCTGCGCCCGATGGGACTGCCATGCATGTACCACAAGTGGTTCAGTGCTCCCTGGCAGCGAAACACAGAAAGTGTAGCCCTGTCTTGAATGTGTTCAACTACATTATAATAATTGAAATTAGAAAAACTAAACAGATTTACTTTCTGTAGAATAACTTATTTAACTTCAAAATTATCAGCTTTTTAAACCAAAAAGTATAACTTCTTTTGACCTACCTGTGTTGGGAGGTAAGCTTATTTCCTTGGAATTTCTTTTTCCTTTCACTGTGAGGTTCTGGGAATTGAACTCTGACCCTAGTGCTTGCTAGGCAAGGTCTCTACCACCAAGCTATATTCCCAGCCTCTTGAGAATTTGAAATTTAAGATGAGGAAAAAGACGTTAGAAGTGCAGTATATACAGCGTCCATTGCCCTTTAGACTAGGCCGTTGAAGTAGAATTAACAAGACTAGTTGTTATATGGCATTAAGAAATTTCATGCCTTAGAATAAAAGATGTAGGTAAGTGAGAAACTGAAGACACTGAGAAGAATGTAAAGAAGTGTCACGTCGTGTGAAGTAAGGGCCGATTTGGCTGCCGCCTGCACATGGTCGTTTTATTGGATCTGTGGAAGGGAGTCATAATCTTTAGTAAGCAAGAGATACTTTGCTCCAGGCCCCTGACTTGGTTTGAAATTTAAACTGGTTTGCTCTAGAAGTGAGTAAACCACAGATTGCTGCCAAGCCGTCCTTTTTGTTAAAGTTTTACATGTCATCTGTGATGGGTTTTATGTCACAGTGAGAGAGATGAGAGCTTGTGACAGAGACAGCGAGGTGTGCAGAGGTCAAAGTATTTACTTCCTATTCTCTTATAGAAAGTTTGCTGGAAAGAAGAAAATGCAGTGTAGGTTTTTGGCTTTTGTTTCCTCCAGTGTAATTTAGGTGTGGAGCTAAAACATTAGCGCACAAATGGGGGCCCTCGTCCAGGCTACGAAGGGAGGGTTCGCAGGCATGCTCGCCTTCTTCCCATTTGTGCATTTTCAGGGAAGCCAGAAGCACAGTTCATGAAGCTAATTGGTTCTCTAGGTTTTTAAAGATGTAGTTCACTGAGCTCCGGGTCTGAAAACCTGCTTAAAATAAAAGGCCACAGTGGAACCCGACATGATTAGAGGGGCAGTCTGAGTAAGGGAAGCACAATGAGGGCTGCGCAGTGGGGGTGTCACTGCGTTGTCCAGCGCTTTGAAGCCACTCTGAGCATGTGATACATGATTATTCAGCAATGAGCCCATCCTGGAGCCAGAGGAAAGGTGATGGCCGTGCTAGCCCATCAGTTAGGTGCGGGAGTGCTCTTGGGCGCTGTGCTGTTTCAGTGACAGTTTTAGTGTGGCAGATGCATTCTTTAATCTGTGTGAGCACCCACTGTACCTCAGGCACTCTGAAGTGAAGTAGGAAGAAGACTGGTCAGTCTCTGACACCAAGGAGAAGGGGGCAGACGTGGAGCTCGGTCCGCGGTGGGCCCTGATGTGTGCCTGGGGAGGAGGGGAGCAGTTTTGCCTTGGGGGGTGAGGAAAAGACTGCATGAAAGAGCTAGTGACTTAAGATGGGCAGAGAAGTATTCAGACTTCTGTGCTGAGTGGATTTTGGTCACAGGTAATGACGCCTGTTCCGCCCTCCGTGTCCCTAGAAAGCTCCCCAGCAGCAGCTTGCTTCTTATCATTGCTCAGGATTCCACTATGCACCTTGCCTTCATAGGTGTCAGTGGGAACTGGATTGAGATCGCCTACGGTACCAGCTCAGGAGCGGTGCGCGTGATAGTGCAGCACCCGGAGACGGTTGGGTCAGGGCCCCAGCTCTTCCAGACGTTCACAGTTCACCGAAGCCCCGTGATAAAAATCATGCTGTCTGAGAAGCACCTGGTATCAGGTAAGGTGACACTGCTGGGGTGGTAAGCAGGCCCCTCCTGGAGCGCCTGGCTCTGCCTGCAACCCGAAAGAAAGGGAGAGTGGCTGGCATGGCAGTACATGTCTGCAAGACCAGTGCTCAGGAAGCTGAGGCAGGAGGATGGCTGTGAGTCCAGGGCCAGCCTGGGGTATATAGCGAGGCCCTGTCTGAAAAAAAAATAAGTAAAAGATAAAGCCTCTGAGCATAGTGCTGTTTGGGGACTAATTATGCCTCCAAGAAGCTCCTGTTCGAGTTCTGTAACGTAAGCCGCACCTGTGACTCACCTCCCGGCCCGAAGCTGTGCCCCCTCTGTAGCGCACGCCCCTTCGCACAGGGTTGCTAAGTGCTGGTTCCCACAGTGCTTGGCTGGGCTGGCTGGGCTTTCCCTGATGTGACTAGCAGTCACCCTCTGTGTGCCAGCGACCTGCAGACTTCCTCCACCTTGGCCATCCAGGAAGTGCAGACTTGTGTATCCTAGTCTGTGTCTGGTTGTGCTTATTGGGAATCTGTAATTGCACTTGGGCAGAAATGAACTTTGTATCGTAGGTGACTCAGAAGGCATTTAGTACAGTCTGTCACTGTCTACCCATGTGTTAGGCTGAGAACATAGGAATTACCCTTACTGCTTATCCCTCTCACAGATACATGGTCCGCCCGTAAGTTACTAGCCTTGCTGTCCATATCACACATGGCTGAAATCTGAGTATGTTTATAGCTGGCAGCCCAGTAGCTCACATCATTCTCCGTAGGTCAGCGCAGTAGCTTCTCAGCTCCTCTTTCTACTTGTCTCTGCTGTCTATTCCACACATCAGCCAAAAAAGTCTCATGCAGGTGCAGCGTAGATCTGATTTCTAGTGGCTTGTCATTGTGCTTAAATTTAAATTCTGCTCTAGTTCTGTTCACTTTCCAGCTCCCTTCTAACCCTCCACCTACTTTTCTCTTATGATCTGTTGGTTTTGTTTCTTAAAAATGCCTTTGAACTTTTGCACTTGTCCTGTTTCGATTGAAATGTGTCTTAGAAACTCATTTGGCTGCCTTCTTGTTACTCAGGTCCTGTTTGAAGTACATCCTTGTTGTCTGTCAGTGTAAATTAGCCAAACGTCTGTCTAGCAGTAGTACCGGGTGTGTGCGGGTCGTGGCCTTCTCATGTGATTATGTAGGTATTAGCTTGCTTGCATCCCCTCTCCGCTTACGCATTGGAAGTTACACACTTGCAGGCACTTCTCTTCTCCCTTTATTTAGTCTTGGCACTTAGCACAGTCTTAGTGCATAAAAAATGCTCAGTAGGCGCTACGTAAGGCAGTTTTTTCCATGAGAGTATAGACCATTCTGTGGCGTCACTCAGAGGGCATGCTGGGCTCCGTTGGCAGCACATGTTTCCTGGCAACGCCTAGCTAGAGACAGTGGTAATGGCTGCTGTTCTTGTGGTTGTCATGCTGTTGTGGGATGTGATGCCAAAGAACTTAGTAAGATTTGTATTTTAGCTTGAAACATTTCATGTAGTTTGAAGTTTAAATAGAGATTATGAAAAAAAAGTCATGCTTATCTGGGCATGAAGGTACATGCCCCTCACCCAGTCTGGTGAGACGGAGGCAGGAAGGTCAGGGATTCAAAGCCAGCTGGGTTGGGTGGCGAGACCTTTTCTTGGAGAAAAGAAAAATGTCCATTTTAACCAAAAATCAGGAGAATTTTACATAGTCTTAGAATATTCTGCCACCTAGTGGATATCAGCACAAAAGTGATCTCATTGTTTTTTTCTTGTAGTGAGCTCTAGTGCTTAAAAATAGAATTTTGCATACCTGATACTTAAATTGTTATACTCAGTTAAGTTAGCCAAAACTATTTAAATTATTTTTGTAAATTCTAGTAAAGTTAATAGTGAAATTAGGAAATTATTTTCTGCGACTTAGTATCTTAAAACTAATTCTGCCACTTTTATTAGAAAATTGACATTCTGAGAATGGAGAATTTACAGCTGTTATTTTCCAAAATTAAAATTCTTCTAAAGTTTAGTTTAAAGTATATAAATCAACAGAAAGTGCTACGTGTGCTTAGAGGTTTTGGCTACTTTGTTAAAGTTTACTGCTGAGATGATGGCTCATTGTTAGTAGTAAAAGATTTTTTGAAGTTGCTATAAGTAACAAATTAGTTTTTTAAATTAAGGCATGCCAAAAAGTTCAATGCTTGGATTACTGATACTATTTTAATAATGTACTCAGATCAAAAAATGGAAATGGGTTAGGAGCTCTCTCATTGTTCAGCCACTTAATGGTACTTTTGGATCATGCTCCCTGATGCAGACATTCTTTATATAAAAATAATGCTCAGCTCCAGTCCAGAGGCTTCCTGTTCCTTGATGTAATGTTGGGTAAGCAGTAAACAGCTCATCCCTCCAGCATGCTTGACCGTGTCCTTTGCGATGGCACCTGTTCAGTAGCCCTGAACTTGAGGCACACAGTGGAAACAGTTTCTGTGACTGGAAAACAGGCTAAGAACTGGGTAACATCCAGTATCTGGTCCCTTGCCTATGTTTTAAACTTTCTCTGTGTTTATACCTTCCCGTCTATTTTTATAAGCATCCTGTAAATTTGCTTATGTACCTTATATTTGCATCAAGATAAACTATATTCAGTCCTCTCACTTTGATTTGGTATAGATCATGTATAATTTGAGATAAATTAATATGTGCAGCACACTAAATATGTGCTGCAGTACATTTTGTATAGATCACAATGAAAAAATTAAAATGTGCTTTTAAAAGTGACTTTGGTGGTGCCCTTACAAGCTACATTTCATAAGCCTTTTATGTTCACTCCCCCCCAGTCTGTGCAGATAATAATCACGTCCGCACGTGGACAGTGACGCGGTTCCGAGGGATGATCTCCACTCAGCCGGGTTCCACCCCTTTAGCATCATTCAAGATCCTGTCTCTGGAAGAGACGGAGAGCCACGGGAGCTACTCCTCTGGAAATGACATAGGTGGGTCGGCGCGTCTGGGAGGTCTCAGCTGGCGTGGGAGCGGTGCGAAAGAAGTGTGTCCGTGGCAGTGGGAACCTAAGCATGAGTTTTCAGTACAGATTTTTCATTTTAATTGTGAAACTCACTTAACACTGAAATTTAGTGCTTCTGAATAGTTTCTGTGATTTCAGAGAATTAGATTTCAGAAGCATTTCATACTGTTTAAAAGTTACATAAGCGAATTTTTATCTTATTCCAGTTTTTATTTGAGTAATAGCATCTCCAAATGTTTACTTTTGTAACTAAAGCCATGAGAACTGTTTACATTGAAACTTTTAATATGTGTTCTTATATTACTAATAATCCACTGAAAATAAAAGTGAAGCCAGAGAAGGGCTGGTGTTTCATACACTGAGTGGTTCTGACGCCTTCCAGAGCCCACCAGGAAGCGATGTGGCGTGTTTTCATCAGTGTGCTCTAAGGTCGGCAGAAGGCATGGGGTGGCTTGATTTGCTTCTGTGTGCTGCGTGTACAGCCAGGCCCTCACATCTGCACACAGATGCTTTTCTCTGAGAGCCCATTTGACATAACTCTGCCTGCAGTGTGTCTCAGTATTTCCATAATGGTTCTGACCTCTTGGTGACTAGCGGACCCTTCCAGTCATGTTGTATAAGCAGAAGTTACGATACCGCTGGCGGGCAGGAAGGAGTGCTCAGCTGATTTCCATGAGGCTGAGATCTGCATTCATCTAGAGTGTGTGAGGATTTCACAATACTTTAGAAAATGTAAGACTTGAGAGATCTGTCTTGCCGCAGTTTCAGCTTTCCTCGAAGAAGAAATTTTTACCTTCATCAGTTCTGACAGTTGTTGAGTGATCCCAGTTTTCTACAGGATGTTAGAAACTGAAGTTTCGGCGTTTTTTTTCAGCAAATGTTTATTGAGCATTTTTACACTAGACATTACAAATCTCAAAAAGAACATCCAGTGCAGCTGGCAGTGGTGGTTCACACCACTGGCTGCAGCCCTGGCAGCTGATGCAGGACTGTTACCTGGACTTTGAGGCCAACTAGTTGGCAGAGTCAGTCCAAGGCTGGCATGGAGTATATACCGAGATCGTGTAGTAAACAGATAAGCAAAGTGTGGTGAAAATTCACTTACAAGATAGGAGGCGGTGGAAGTAGAAAGAAAACAGTTGTATTTTACTCTCCATCCTCCAGGTCTGAGGAAAGGTAGTAAGTATTCAGGGGAGAGAGTACTGGGATCTGCACTGGGGGGCCACACTCCGAACCTTGGCAGTTTCATGAAGTGGTTTTTATCTGCACTTAACACGGATGGAAACTGGCACCCAGAAGTAGGATGCCTCCCACCCTGATGCAGGAGGATGGACAGATATCTGGTGGATGTGGGAGGCTCTGCGGTGGGGACATTATTGGCAGAGAAACACAGCAACCAAAGGGGAGGCCAGGGAGCCCAGCCCCCTAAGTATCCGGGTCCAGTGCTGCTTTACAGGGTGCATCAGCCACAGCTGGTGGACGGGAGGGGTCTGGTAATGGAACCACTTGACACCAAACTGAAAACTTAAGATTTTATCTTACCAGTAATAAAAGTTTTGAAGAATTTTGAGCATGAGTCTAGATGTTTATTATATAATAATGACATATAATTCATTCTTTGTGTCTGTGGCCAAGGCCTAGAGAAGGACCTCGCCTGGACGTTGGCTGGCGAGGCCTGAGCACTAGGTAGCAGCTGCTAGCCTGACGGCAGATGCGTTGTTCAGGCAGAACGTGTGTGGTGTGGGTTGAAGAGCCCTTGGCATGTCTGCTGAATTCACTGGAGCCCACTGGAGCAAAGGGCAGGAAGGTTTTTCTTTTTATAGTTAAGAAGAGAACTATCCTGAGAGATTGGCATATAGGTCAGTGGAACAAAATAAAGAATGCTGTGTGAGACTGTAATAAACAGTAGAGTGATAGACACTGGCCGTGACTATGAGAGAATGAGGTGACAGGGTTAGCTAGCAGGCAGGTAAGTTCACATTCCTAGTTGGGATTCCTGTTTATTTCTCCCATTGAAATAGGAAAGACAAAGGAAGGTGCCATTTTGGGGCGAGTTGGAAAAGACTGAATTGGGGACTTGGGCATCTGGCTTGGGTATGAGGTAGTAGATTATGGGTGCATTTCATGTGAGTGTCCAGTTGGATTGTTCTTGTTTTTTATTCTTGAGTGGTTCTGGAGGTTGGATCCAAGGTCTGACGTATGATAGGCAGATACCAGCAGGTGCGGGGAGAGAAGATCCATTTCCATAGCTGTTTATTCATCATCACCAATTTGATATTATTCATAGATTATGGGATGAGGACTGTCATTCCATCTCAGTGGGATTAAACAACAGAAAGTTGTCCATAATCGGGCAGGTTGTCCGCTAGCTTGGAGTGAAAAGTGGTGGTGGAGCCAGACAAGAGTTGCGTTCATTTGAATTCAGTTCTATCATGTGGGCTGTGGACGCCTCGGTCACCGGGGCTTGGTGGCTTAGTTTCCTCATTTGTGAAGTGGAGATGATGGTAGTGCCTTCCTGTTGGTTATTGTGATGATTCAAATGACTTTTCTAAGGACTTGTCACGGCACAGCGAAAGCGCAGTGTGTTTGCCAACTAGTAATAAAGGTGCTGTTTCATCCATTAAATGTTTGGGATTCATATAAGCTGAGGTGTTACAGTTTTTAGGAATTTTGTTGTATATCACATATCACAAGTTTTATAAACAATAAGTTGTTACTATTTAGCTAATGTATGTGATTAAAAAACATTAACATGTAACTTTTCTAGATGTTGCATGTGAATGCTTTTTTATATTCTTGCAGACCATTTACCTGATTTGCACAGGACAGTAAAGTGAAAATAATTGAATCTTTCAGTCCATAAACCTTGCAAAATACAGCTCAATACAGGTTGAGCATTTTCAGTCCACAAATCTGAATCCTAAATATTCCAACATCCACAACTTTTCAGCCCTAACAAAAAAGTGAAAAACTACATGATGAAAGTATTTTGTATATAAAACTGTTACAAGTGTTGCTGAGATTACTCTCAGTCTGTGCATATAAGGTGCATATGACACGGACATTTTGTGTTAACTTGGGCCCCATCTCCGAGATGCCTTGTTACGTATATTCAGATTACCAAAGTCCAACATTCAGGAACACTTGCAGTCCCAGGCATTATACTCAGCCTAGAGGACATTTCATTTTGTACTTCGTTCTTTGGCTATTTGCTGATGTTTTTCTAATTGGTTCACTAGCTACCCTGTATGGAGTTACTTTCTTTTAATTTTCATCTGTAGAAAAAGATGAAGGAACAAATGTGTTTAATGGAGGCTTCTGATTAATTCTAACTCATGAAGTTATACTTTCTATTTTAAGTATAATTTAAATTGCTTGTTGGCTTTCCAAAATTAATACATGAAGTGACTTAATTTATTCCTCCCCTTTTGCCCTTTTTTGGTGATAGAGCTGAAACCCAGGGCCTCATGCATGCCCCATCTGCACTCTGCTTAGGCCTATACCGGAGGCCTGTCTTTTTAAGTTATTAAAATCCTAAGTATATTCTCAAAGATGTTAAGTATGTTGCCAGGCCTCCTAGCACTGTGAACCAGGCACCTCTGCAGACGGTGGCCTCCAGCTTTCATGGCCTATACTGTGTATTTTTTCTTGAAAACTTGTAGTGAAAGTGGAAGTCCTTTTAACATTGCATCTTGCATGTGATTTTGACAAGTTCAGAGAAACGTTGACAGATACGAAAAATTCTTTTCACTTGTGTAAAATAAAAATTAAATTGTAATGAACTTACTTGGATATTTTTCCTTTTTTTATCAAGGGCCTTTTGGCGAGCGAGATGACCAACAGGTGTTTATTCAGAAAGTTGTTCCCATCACTAACAAGCTGTTTGTCCGACTCTCGTCTACTGGGAAGAGGTGATTCCATGCTGTAAAGATGCTTATGCCAAGAGCTCAATCTGTCTTATGAAACCTGTACCACAGTTTGTTACACTAATGCAAAAGGGTGACTAGGGTCAAATTGAGAGAAATCTGTTCATTATCTCTTTTTTCCGAAATTAAAACGTTAGTCCTTATTACCTAGAATTTAAGATTTCCCCTGGTGTTTTGGCTAGTTAGGAACAGTGAGCAACATAGTAGAGTGAGAACAGTAAACTTTTTCACATGTAAAATTGATGTCCAAAATTGGATTCATGTCAGAAACTAATAGCCATTGATGAGTTTTCATAAGAACACTCAGTTCCTTCCTGGTGGAGACAGAAACCTAGAATTTAAATATTTTTAACCCCATCATATGAAAGTCTATATACGTTATTTATATCTTAAATAAAATATACTGCAGATTTTTTACTATCATGTACCTTTGAAGAATACAAAGGAATAAACAGTTAAATCTCGCTCATTAATGACTACAATTTCCATAGTCTTGACGCAGCTTACAGTTTATTACCAATGTTTCATTTTATATTTTTTGCCATTTTTCCCCTGCTACCTGCTTTAATTCAGAAGTAAGTTATCATTTTCCATGAGAACAAAACCCTGTTTTTTTGTGTTTAACTCAAAAATTGCAAAGTGTGAATGCTGCTGCCCCAGTGCTTCTGGGACATGAACCTGCACTATTCTGGTTTTGTCTTCAGAAATGATTTCTGTTTAGGCCTTATTATTATTATTACTTATTTAGTACAGG